TCACCATTGGGTGAGAAATCCCTTATTAGACTGTGAGGTAACTTGTTAATAGGTATAGGGAATAGGTTGCATTTTATGATTTTCTTTTACTTGTAACCTTATGTTTCCAAACTCTTATACTTGCTTTTATTGAATCTCTATCTCAAGCTCTGTTAAATAAACTTCAGTTTGGTTTTACTATGGTTTTACTAGGTTTATGTGCTTTGTGCTAAGGAGTGTGTTGAATGGAGGTGAAACCAGTGAACTGGGGTGCACTGCTTCCACAGAGGCAGCTGATAGGTGTCCATAAGAGTGCCAGAAGATAAGGCACTGGGCACTTGAGTGCAACAAAGTGGGGCATGTAAATTGCTAGCCTGCATTGTGAAAGAGCAGGGCTTTTGGAGCCTGGAGTGGAGCACTTGTGTTACTGAGCCTGGGGGGACAGACAAGGCTGTCAAGCTGTTTGGAGTGGCTCAAGTCCGTGAATACCAACCTCTAGTGAAGACTGTTACAAACCAGGACGCAAACCTGAAAACTGGTTGTGAGTTCTATATTTAGATTTCACCGACCGAGCATCATGTGTGAACTCCATAAGCATTATAACAGCCTTAAGATGGAGTCACAGACAATCCCCTTGAGTAGGGTTACCATATTGGAGCCCCTGAAAAAGAGGACACTCCAAGGGGCCCCGGCCCCGCCCCAACTCCGCCCCTTCCCCGCCCCAGCCCGGCCCTGGCTCCGCCCATCCCCTGCCCTGGCTCCGCCCCTTCCCAAAAGTCCCTGCCCCAACTCCGCCCCCTCCCCAGAACGCTCCGTCTCCTGCTCCTCCCCTGCTTCCTGCGAATCAAATGTTCGCGGGAAGCCTAAAACAGGCAGGCAGCAGGTAAGCTGGGACTGGGGGGGTGGGAGGAGACGCTGGCCGAGCAGTGCTGGCCAGCGGCCGAGCACCCCCAGCCCCGGTTGCTCTGGCCCAGCTTGGCTTGGGCCCCGGTTCCGGCCGCCGGCCAGCGGCCGAGCACCCCTGGCCCCACAAGCCCCAGCCGAGCAGCTCCGGCCCGGCCCCGGCCCTGGCTGAGCAGCACCGGCCAAGCACCCCCAGCCCCGGTCACTCCGGCCCAGCTCAGCTAGGGCCCCGGTTCCGGCCAGTGGCTGAGCACCCCCGGCCCCACCGGCCCGGCCGAGCTGCTCTGTCCCGGCCCTGGCCAAGCGGCGCTGGCTGAGCACCCCCAGCCCCGGTCCCAGCGTCTCCGGCTCGGCTCGGGCCCCAGTTCCGACCGAGCAGCTCCGGCCCAACCCCGGCTGGCGGCTGAGCACCCCAGCCCCACCGGCCCTGGCCGAGCAGCTCCGGCCCGGCCTGCCTTGGCTGAGCGGCGCCAGCCAGCGGCATCCCAGCTCACAGCCGCCTCCTCCCGGTCTCCGGCTGCTGCTGCGCTGGGGAGAGCGGTGGGAGCCGGGAAAGTTGAACCCTGGGGAGGAGGTGGTCCCCTTACCATGCCTCCCTATTTTCCCAGACATGTTCGGCTTTTTGGAAATTCCTCCCGGACGGGGATTTGAGGACCAAAAAGCCAGACATGTCCGGGAAAATCCGGACGTATGGTAACCCTACCCTCGAGCACTCCAATCTTGCCAGCCAGGTAAACTTGCCTTTGTGATCGATCACAACAATATTCAAGTTACTGCCAGTCCTAAAGGACTGGTCGCTTACCCCAGGTCAATTGCACTTTAGATCTTACACCAAAGATAACATGTGTAGCTAATCCTATAATTAACTACAGATTTATTAACTAAGAAAAAGAAATGAAAGTGAATTACAAGATTAAAGCAAGTAACACACACACACACAAATGAGTTACAGTCTTAGGTTCCAAAAGGTGATAGAAGCTGCTATAATATGCAAGCTCTAAGTCCTCTAGGGTTAACCCAGGCCAAGCACTGGGGATCCCTTGCTTATGCTTAGAAATCTTGCCCTCTCCAAGTCTAAGCAGCATAGTGATACAATTCCTTTTTGTAAGGGATTTTTATCCACTTCCCCTAGAGTTCAAGCTGATGGGAGGAGTCCACCTGCATGTCTCTTCTTCATGGGTGTTGGGGAGGAGCAATCAACAAAGTCTTTGTTCTTTGATGTTTCACAATGGCTCATTTGGTTTATGTGGGCCTTCTTGGTGGGCAGGACCTAACACCTTCTGTAAAAGCCAGCATTTTACGTTAGTTAATGCTTCTTTCCTGTTTGCTGAGATACACAGTTACAGAGGTTTACAATGCACACGTGAGTGGGAGGGATAGCTCAGTGGTTTGGGCATTGGCCTGCTAAACCCAGGGTTATCAGTTCAATCCTTGAGGGGGTCACTAAGGGATCTGGGGCAAAATCAGGACTTGGTCCTGCTAGTTAAGGCAGGGGGCTGGACTTGATGACCTTTCAAGGTCCCTTCCAGTTCTATGAGATAGGTATATCTCCATTTATATTATTATTATTATTATTAACATAACTTTATAGTTAGGGGTACAGCTTTTATAAGTGAGTTTACTACATGCAGTCCTACAAGCATATCATAAAGTCTAAACACTAAACACATTCATATAAACTTAACATCTATTTTAACACTAACACTCAGGTGATCCAGACTGGTTTCCAGCTATGTGTTCAATTGAAGCCTAGGGGCCTTGACATAAGCTGGCACCTGGTTGCCAGCGTCACAAAGGCCCATTCCCACTGTGAGTAGGTGGTAGTGATTCACCCCAGACACCTCAGTAGCTCCATAAAGTGTCACAACTGGTTTGATACATTTTCATTTTGGTACCAAACAATGTTATCGTCAGTCCATAAGGTCATCAATTTCTATGCAACACTTAGAATCATAGAATATTAGGGTTGGAAGAGACCTCAGGAGGTCATCTAGTTCAATCCCCTGCTCCAGTCCCTTTGTGACTAAGGCACACATCTCCTTTCAACCTCACCCTTGATGGAGCACTGATCAAGTTTCCTAGGTACACATAAGAGTCTACTTTTTCTATGACTTCACTTCTGCTGCATTTCAAGACTTTATATATTGTCTCTTTTCCAAGATAAAACCACCTTGTTTTGTTGGAATTTACAGTAAATCCAAGTCAACTACTGCTATTTTTCGAAGGTATCAAAGAGTATCATTATCAGTCAACAGGAATAATTAGAAGCATGGAAAAACTTTGATACAAAGAGGAATTGAAAAGGCTGGTATTGTTTGCATTAGAAAGAAGACAAATAAGAGGACACATGATTAAAAAGCATGATAAAACGGGGAACCGTGGCCAATGGGAACTTTGGGGGAGGTACCCGCAGGCGAGGGCAGCGCGCAGAGCCGTCTGCCACCCCCTGCCCTCAGGGGCTGCAGGGACGTGTTGCCGGCCGCTTCCGGGAGTGGCGTGGGGTCAGGGCAGGCAGGCAGGGAGCCTGCACAGGCTGCCACCCCGGAGTCGCTCCAGGTAAGCGGCGCTGGGCCGGAGCCTGCACCCTGAACCTCTCCTGCACCCCGCACCCCAACCCCCTGCCCTGAGCCCCCGCCGCACCCTGCCTGCACCCCAAACCCTGCCGCATCGTGCACCCCTCCTGCATCCCAACCTCCTGACCTGAGCTCCCTGCTGCACCCCTCACCCCAATCCCCTGCCCTAAGCCCCCTGCTGCACCTCGCACCCCTCCTGCACCCCAACCCCATGCCCTGAGCGCCCTCCTGCACTCCGCACCCCCTCCTGCACCCCAACCCCCTTTCCTGAGCCACCTCATACATCCTGCACCCCTCCTCTGCCCCAACCCCTTGCCCTGAGCCCCTTCCTGCACACCGCACCCCCTCCCATACCCCAACCCCTTGCCCCAGCCCTACATTCATGGCCCTGCATGCAATTTCCCCACCCAAATGTGGCCCTCAGGCCAAAAAGTTTGCCCACCCCTGGCATAGAAGCATGTCCTCTGGAATGGTCATTGAAGCATGAAGGGACATACAAGTGTTTAGCATACCTGACATGTAAATACCTTGCAATGCCGGCTACAACAGTGCCATGTGAATACCTGTTTGAACTTTCAGGTGACTCTAAGGGCTTGTCTTCACTACCCGCCCAGATCGGCGGGTAGAAATTGATCTCTCGGGGATCGATTTATCACGTCTCACTGGGATGCGATAAACGCTCACCGAATCGACGCGCGTATTCCACCAGCCCAGGTAGGAGTAAGCGCCGTCGACGGGGGAGCTGCGGCGGTCGATTTGCCGCCATCCTCACAGCAGGGTAAGTCGGATCAGATACGTCAAATTCAGCTACGCTATTCCCGTAGCTGAATTTGCGTATCTGAAATCGATCCCCCCCCCTCCCCGTAGTGTAGACGTAGCCTTAGTAAATAAGAAGTGAGTAGCATTATCGCCTGTAAATGTAAACAAACTTGTTTGTCTTAGCGATTGGCTGAACAAGAAGTAGGACTGAGAGAATTTGTAGGGTCTAAAGTTTTACATTGTTTTCTTTTTGAGTGCAGTTATGTAAACAAATAATAATTCTACATTTGATTGCACTACAGAATTTGTATGAGGTGAACTGAAAAATACTATTTATTTGATCTTTTTTACAGTTCAACTATTTGTAATAAAAATGATAATATAAAGTGAGCACTCTAAACTTTGCATTCTGTGTTGTAATTGAAATCAATATATTTGAAAATGTAGAAGATATCCAAAAATATTTAAATAAATGGTATTTTATTACTGTTTAACAGTGCAATTTAAAACTGCGATTAATCACAATTAATTTTTTTAATAGTTTGACAGCCCTAGTTTCTAGGCATGATTTACCTCTCACTTATACCATTTAATATTTAGTATACTTTCATTGTATTCAGTGGCCTTACTCCTCATTTATGCTAGTGTAAGTAATCAGAGAAACTGGCTCTCTGAAACTCATGTAACAAAACATAAAAAAAAAGGGGGGGGGGACGGGCAAGTCATGCTAGAAAAAGGAAATGAATAAGAAGTATTTTGCATAAGACCAACACGAAAACAGGAAGGAACTTCCCACTAGTATGCTAGATGAGAGCTCTTCAGTGACATGTGCTTGACTATGAGAAAAGCAGATCTCCTGAAATTATTAACAGCAATAATTATCATGTTCATTGTATGTTTGCCTGAATTTTTCAAAACCCATGAAGGTGAGTGATCCGCTTTAAAGAATGAGGGCTCGTCTTTATTTTAAGGTCAGATTGCAGTTAAAGAATTCACACGTACTTTCCCGGAGGAGTGATTGTGATGCAATTTTCTTACTGATAGTAAACTTTACAAAATGTATATGAAATGTGTCACTTCAATTAGCTTTTTGTTTATAATAGTTAACTATATATATATATATTAATTATGAAGAATATTTGTCAACAGTTACATATACCAGAATCAAAAATATTGTAGGTATTTTCATTTAATTTATGTTGTACTTCTTGCCTTTGCGGGGGTTTTCTACAGAAGGTAATTGCTTGTTAGAATTATAACTATTTTGAACTTCTTGCACCCAAAGGCACAAAAATGTTTGTAACATTATTGTATTATACTTTCATTCAAAGAACATGAAAAATAGTTAATCCCGTTGAAGATATCAAAGTAGTATGTATGTATGGTGAACTGAAACAAAATAGTGCAGAATGGGTAGAACTGAGTGAAATCAATCTCTTAATATGAATTCCAAATATAATTTGTTTATAGAAGTCAATACTGAGATTTGGGAGAATGAGAAAATGTATGAATAAAACATATATTCATTGTTATACCTTCATTTAAAAATCCATAGCTAGGCTAACATTAATTGATAGGGTTTTTTCTTCTGTATTCGAAAGTAGGACTTTGAGGATAAAAACATAACAAGAAAGGTGTCCATCTGATTCATTTTCCTGAAAGGCTTTATGTTAATTTTTAATGAAAAGTGATATTCAGTAAAAACTCTGAAAGCTTAAAATATATGCAAGTTAGGAAAGTTAATTTAATTTGAATTTATATTTTCATTTACCAAACAAGAATTAAATTGATTCTAACTCAAGCATAAGGATAACAAACTGTAGCTTACAAAATGATACTCCTGAGGGAATTCTGTGCCAAAAAATTAAAAATTCTGCACATAATATTTTAAAATTCTCCAAAATTCTGCAAATTTTATTGGTCAATAAATAAATGTGGAGGCTCCAGCATGGCAGTGGAGAGCACAGGCCACTGACTGCACAGAGGTGGAAGATCACCCTGCAGCCCCCACCCCGGGACATGGACTCAGCGGTGAGGCTGCACCCGACCTTGACACAGGGCAAGGCCCAGACTTGCCACTCCATATAATCAGGCAGGCTCAGCCCAGCATGATCCAAGTGTGGAAGGGCTTAGTGTGAGGAGATCAGGCGTGGGGTGATAAGGGCTCTGTGTGGGGCAACCTGGGTGCAGGCAGCTTGGTGGGGGTGTCTGGGTACAGGGGGGGATCTGGATGAACAGGCTCATTGGGGGTGGGGTTCTGGGTGCAGAGGCAATGGGACTCTGCAGGAGGGGTCCAGGTGAAGGTGGTTAGGGCTCAACAGTGGGGTGGGGGTCTGGGTATGGAGGGCTCAGCTTGGGGTCTGGGTGCTGGCTTGGTGGGGCTCAGTGGGGTGGGGGTCCAGGTCCGGGGAGCTAATAATCAGGGTGGTCCAGGTGCAGGTGGGGTAGGGCTTGTGGGAGTTCATATGTCTGTGGGGGCAGTCTGGGTGCAGGGGTGGGGTCCAGATGCAGGGAGGTGGGACTCAGCAGGGGTCTCTGGGTGCAGGGGGGCTCCAGATGCAGAGGGTGAGGCTTGTTGGGGTGTGGGTTTGGGTTCAGGGGGCTCAGTGTGGGGAGGTTCAGGGTAGCAGCGCATGACCAGTTTTGCGGCTTCGCTTTGTTTGCCCCATCAGAAAGTCATTTTTCTGTGGGGAAGCAAAGAAATCTGCGGGACACATGAATTCTGCACATACGCAGTGGCACAGAATTCCCCCAGGAATAAAAATGACAAGATCAGTGGGATGCTTTAAGTTTTCAGATATTGTAGAAGGTGTAAACAAAGTTTGCAGATTGCCATACCTAATGTTTTACCTCCATGTAAAAGTGGCAAAAGTGCTACGTAGTAATCAAATTGTTTAACAGATTGCATGAATATACAGTGATGACATAAATGTTACTACAAGAGAACATACTGATATTACTGTCAGTACCATGTAATAACTGTTATTTCTAGTTGATTTTTGCATATATAGTTCCTGTTTAGATAACACTGCATGGTATAACTGATGCAACCTCAAAATTTTGTCATTTTGTACTTGCTGAATTTTAACTACAGTGTCGGTAAAATTAGAAAGCGCAGTTCTGCCTTAAGTTCTGCATTGAGGGTTTCAGAGGACTTAGAACAAAGTACATGAGAAGCAGAATTCACCACAAAACTCTATCTAGGAATTTTAAAACTAGCTACCCCATGTTATCTGGATGCTCTCTAAACTATGTAACAAATTATAAGCTTATGTAAGAGGGTGTAAATACACTGGAATTACCAGCCTAGAATACACCATTTTAGAATTTGGCCCTGTGTTTGTCCTCAGAGCTGCATGGGCATTGTTAGTTAAAAATCTTCTTTAGGAGACTGCTCTTGTTCTGAGTTTTGTTACAAACCTGAATCATGCAGATGTTTGCCGAGATTCAGCTGAACTTCTGGCAATTTCAAATTAAGTGTTAAGGTACAGAAATACTCAGTTAAAGCACTCAAACAACCTTAACTTTGCTATATAGTGATACCCTGAGAAGGGAGGGGGGAAACAAGAAAAAAAGTCTGTGTCTTTAAAATCACTTTAATCTAATCTGGGACAAGGACTAATATGGCCACAAAGACTAATAGGCATCATTCATAATGGTAAGCTATTGAATGACATCACTACATGGCAGAATGAAGGCTGTTTGAGTGCCTTAATTGTGTGTTTCCATATCTTACATGTTTGGATTTCTTTTAGTTTAACTTTAACTCTGAATTTCCTGGATCTACAATGCTTGTTTTGATGATAATCACAACATGGACGTAATATATTTACCCTAACTTACTGATATGTGTTCTCAACCTTAACTCCACCTTAATGTAGTTGTGTGTTTGAGACAGTGGATCCTTGTTTCCTTAACTACAGTATATTTCACTATCTCAAGAAAGCATTATGAACTAAAAGGCATATCCTGTCACCACCCTTTTGTGGAAATGCAAGATCTATAAATAAAGCAGCAATATTGGTGCAGTTCTGCTGCAAAGCAGGGGGTCAGTTAGGTTGTGGACTGGCAGTGCAGGAGACAAAAGGCAAACTCCATGAGAGTGTATGTGTGTGGTGGGGGGGGGACAGCAGAGACAGGTGGGGGCACATGTTACAACCTTGCCCACTGTATGGTTACCAGTCTGTTGCAAGTGGACCCCATCACTGGGTCCTATGTGCTTCCAAGCTGAATGGATCTTGGTAGAGTCTAGTAATTGTTTCTCAGCTTAACCGGTGTGGTTTAGCCCCTCATGGACTATGTGGGAAGCGAACAAGGTATAGTGGCAGAACTGAGTGAAATTTTGAATTTCCATCTGTAGTAAATTCTGACATTTCAACATTTGTTTTTGTCCCTAAAGAGGATGAAAAGTTGAAATTTAGAAACTTTTCATGGAATGGAAAATCTGAAAAATTTATATGAACAAATGTCTAAACATTTCATTTTGACATTTTAAATCAAAACAAAATATTTCAACACTCCCACAATTGAAATGTTTCATTTTGATTTGTTGAAATTATCCCAAATGCTTCATTTCAAAATTAACCTGTATTTTCTTATTGTGGCACATTGCATTATGGGAGGTATAGCACAGCAGGGAGCCTGGCCCAAAGGGAGAATAGGGACATCAAGGTCCCAAACATCTCCCACAATGCACCCAAAGTCATGTGACCACACCTCTCAGTCAGAATGAAATCAGCATGTTGCCTTATGGGAGAGATGGTCCTCTAGGGGGCCCAGTCCATAGGATTGAATAGGGACCAGAACAACAGTTCCCATATGATAATGCTACATAATATGAAAATATAGTTTAATGTTTTGTTGAACTTATTCAAAATGAAACCCAACCCAAAATGATATATTTAATTTCAAGTTTCTTGATGGAAAATTGAAAATTTTCAGCAAAATCAAAGTTTTCCTGAAGAAAATTTCAGTGTTGCACAAACTGCATTTTCCATTGGAAAATAATTTTGATGGAAAATTCCTGAACAACTCTAAACATAGGCTTGGGAAAGGAACTTCTTAACCACAGAAACTTTACTCTTAAAGCAGCAGAGGGCTTAGAGATCTTAGACAACAAAACAGGAGTCCTGAGCAGAGGTGAAAGTAAGCCAGTCTGGTCCAGCGTACCGGCAAGAGCCAGTACACAGCCAACTGTACCGGCAAAGAGCGGCTTCCCCAGGCTGGCAATTTAAAAGGGCCCTGGGCT